TCGATCCAAGAAATCCCATCTGTCTCATTTATCATTATTACGTTAAAAGGACATCCTGGAGTGCAGAGCTAACTTGTCATTTACAACTCAGTTCTGCTTTCCAGATAATAAATCTAAGTAATATGAAGAAAGCAATGTGAATCTTATTAACTGTGTATATCTAGGAAACTTTAATATGCAGCGTGCACGCTAACTTCCACGTCCTAATGGATTTTAGAAGAGAGCACGCCATATGTATATGAGAGAGATGCAGTCAACAGCCTTCCTAGACAGATGACTATCTACATGGTTACAGTGCAGCGGCAGGAAGACTTGGGGGCTGCCGCACTGACTGACCTCCAGTACTGTTTTAAATAGGTTTTGATGTTTGTGCTGAGGGCAATAGACACAGGATAAAAAAAAGATTTTTTTTTTTTTTTCTTTTGCTTTCCTGCTCCTTGTCTTGACCGTTTAAGCTCTTGGATATTTCAATACCATGCACCACTATTTACTTGACAAACACAAAGCATCTTTTGATAAAGGTAGCAATTTTCCAGACTACTGAAGTAGGTGGACAGGAGAATGGATTTCTATTTAAAATGGCAAATTTCTATTCCATTCTTAATTCAAGCAGGACTGAATGGTACAAGGCAGAGAACCTGAAAGGCCACATGCTCCTCTGAGAACCCAAGCCTGACAGACAGTAAGGCTGCAACAGCTTTTACCACTTCTGGCTTTCCTGCAGGTTTCTGAACCAGTCTTTTTGATGTCATGATGTGACTGGATCCAAAGAGCCCGTGAAGGGGACGTCTGCTCTGTTCAATCACTGGCATCCAGGCTAAGAGTTAGCAATGGGCTCTCTTTGTCCCCAGTATGCAGATCTGTTACCATCTTTCCTAACATGTCTCAGCATGCCAAGTGGTGTGATTTGGGGGAGGGTAGAAGCCAGGCTGGGCTGCGCATCTGGGGAAAGACCTTGGCAATAGGCTGCAGCTACAATGTGCCTCGCAGCAGGGCCCGTTTCAGCATGGGACATATCCCGTGCTGCACCATTGCCACGTTCCTGCTCTGTGACCCAGTCTGGACCATGTCGCAGCTGGAGAGAGGCTGTGCTGCTGTGTGAGGTCTAGCCCTGACCAAAGCATCCTGTCTGTCTGTCCTGTTTAGGCTTGCTGCCTTTGGGGGTGTTTGAGCTGAATGCAAGTCCCAGGGGAGGGCAAGAACAGCTCCTGACGGTGGGCGCGTGCTGGAGCGGGATGTGCGGTGTACAGGAAGGAGGCTGGCAGGAATTTCGGCGGTTTGTGCAAAGGTTGGGGATGGTAGAGCGAGGGAGGGAACGGGAAGGGTACACTAGCATTTGCTTGTAACCAGTATCTCAACCCCATCGTTACAGATTTGAAAAGCAAGACTAGGAAAGATGTAAGGGTGCAGATTCCCGTGTAGAGCACTGCCTACAGCCTTTTGGTTTTGGGGATGTGTACGTGCATGTGTGAAAGGCAACACCTGTTAAGTAAATTTTTGGACAGCAAAACCTGGGTGTTGGAGAACTGCATTTCCATAAAGCAGCCAGTGGCTCTTGGTCACAAGATTTCACTACCGGCTCACAGGGGCAAGAGTTTTTGGCTGCCTCTCCACTACACAATAGGAGTCTTCAGGCATTACAGAACAGATACGTATGAACAAGTGATGCAAAGCGCTGCTGCTAATCCTGTGCCTCACTTCGCGTCAGCACACTTCCCACAACATCCACTTGTACTGAAGCTGGACTAATTGGGAAGACAGCAGAGCTGTAATCCACAGAGCTTATTCTGCAGTTTCTTAATATAGCATTAACATGCAGTCCAGCTGGTTTCCAGTTCTCCATCCTCCTAAATAAGAGGACTGTATTCAATTCCAGAAACCAAATCTGGAACTAACGCCATATGCAGCTTCAGCGACACCTAGCCCTGAAACTGGCTGCGTTACAAAGGCATCTGCAGGAAGTGTATTTCTCATGTCACTCATCACCTCTTTAGCAAACGCAGGAGTCGTGGCTTTGAGCTTCCAGAAAAGTCATGCTGTGTTTTTTTCACGGCTCTATTAATTTTCCCAGATAAAACTGTTGTACTGGGGCCTGGTATATGTGATGAAATGCAGGAGAAGGGAAGAATTGCTCTGGGATTTGACAAGGATACAAGAAGCCCTGAGAGAAAATTAAATCTCTTGGCAGTTTGAGCAAATTCTGCCTTTCCCTGTCAGTAATTCTACGTAAGTGGACTGCTGCTCAGTTCAGACTGCTTGTTCAGAAGAGCAGAGCAGTGTGAAGTGCAAATAAATAGCAAACTCTGCTTATTCCATATGCGGCTTTCAAAGGGATTCTGCCGTTCTTTGGTAACGGTACCTGTTCGAACTTCCACCCGTCAGACATAGTGGACACCATCTGTGTGAGCTCCTCCTCTTGGCACTGCAGGACTCTGTACACGTGCTTCACAGGTCCCTAAAGCATGGAGAATAAAAATGAGCGTGAGTTTAGTAATTGTTATACTAGTATCAAACTAGAAAATTAATAAGCCTCTCCTGCTCTGTCGTCTTGTTATTTGAGGAAGTCTGAGCCCCACAGGCTTTCTGAGGAGTGTCACCCTTCTGACCATCCAACCGACTCTAGAACAGGTGCGTACAGTTGGCACGCTTCTCTTAAAAGCCTTCTAGGTGTCTAAGGGCCAGTGAAAGCAAAACTTCTTTGGCTTTCAAAGTCATCTACTTCTTTTTGAAAATGTTCCTCTTCTGAAACTGAATCTATTGGGTGTGTTAATATCAGCTGAGCAGCAATGGGAAAAACTGCCAGAGACGGATATAAAGGGAAGAAAATGGTTTAGAGAAGGAACAGTTTGAACTATTCTTTACAAACCAAAGCAGTATGTTTTAATTTATAACTACTCATCTTTCATCCTGCCCCTCTTGTTTAACTGTTCATTCCCTGCAGTGCTAACAAGATGACTCGGTGGTCTGTGCTCATAAAACCATAATGGGTACTCTTTCCTAGCTGTGCCTTGGATCTACCTAAAAGCGCCGATTCCACCTGTCGAAGGTGACTAAACAAAAAGACTGCTACTGGCAGTGCCTGCAGCCACGTGTCCTTCTACTACGCTACAGAAAACGGCTGACTCCGTAACGCTAAAGTTCCCATGCATTACTTGAGAGGTTCTGTTCTCGTTATCCCGTATCCGCTCCTTCACCAGCCGCACAAGAGATGCAATATTGTAAAACTCGGCTTCTTCCAGTACCCCTAAGAAAGGAACCAAAAGTAGAGAGAAATTCTGTTACTTTGTACAGGGTAGAATGAAGATGATTCTGCTACCAGGATGCAACAGCTGCTCCTGACTCCAAATCTAGCCCGGATGTGAGAACACCCCCGAATGCTGGACAGACTGTGCCACCGATCTCATGCTCCCAGGCTGGAAAAAAATGACCAACTAGCTGTCACCTCCTTTTGTGACTTAGAGCATCTTTAAGAAAGATTATTCCCCTTTCCCTGGGATTATCAGAAACCTCGTGGTACAACCTCGATTTTGTCCGCACAGACCCATTAGGGGAAAGTCACCAAAGCTGCCTGTGGGGGGAGAGGAGATGTGCTAACAGATCTTTTGTCCCGCTAACAGAAGCCTTTGCGCTAAGGAGAACAGTGATGGGTTGTGTTGTAAGCTGCAGGCCTCTGCTTTCAGGAAGATACAGAAGCTAATGATTTAATCCCTGTTAATGAGCATCCTTCTGAGAAACTAACGGTAGTAACAGCCAGCACTACTGGGAAATGCGGCTTGCTCACAGCCTTACACATCGCCACGTCAGGAACCCTATGCACTCAGGCAAGCTTCTGGTGATGGCTCTTGGATGCTGCCTTCGAACAGCCTTCGTAGTTCTTTCCCTGTAATTTTTCCTCTTACCTTCTTCCGCAAGCTCCTTGTTTATGATGAGCTTCCCATGCCGGAGGTAGTTCAGTATTGGACCAAAATACGTGGGGTCTCTATCGATGAGATACGCCCCTGTCTCATCCTGTGGAGCAGGAAT